ACACTACTGTCCGTGTCTATACGGTATGCATATGTGTTCATTAGCTAATCCTTTCACCTACTTCATCCAGTCACCCCAACCCCCGCGCCTCTGGCTCCTGACAGTCTGTTCCATGTATCCATGCTTCCTGTTCCATTTTGTTCATCAGTTTATTTTGCTCATTGGATTCCACATATTATATTAGTGAGATCATATGGTATTTGTCTTCCTCTGGCTAGCTTATTTTGCAGAGAAAAGAATTCTTTATCGATTTGGATTTTAAAACAACATTGAATGTATTAACTTGACATTAAAGATGTCCAATTCTATTTTCTCCAGTGTGTTCTAGGGGTAGCTTTTTATATGAGTACTCAGTAGAGTGCCTGCAGCATGCATAGGAATCTTCCCCCCATATGAAGTTTTTAACTTTTTATTACGGAAAATTTCACACTGATACAAAAGCACAAAGCACGGTTTAAGAATGTCCCATGCTTCCAAACAGCTTCAACTAGCCAATCCTGACTCACCTATCTCCCCTTCTCCTTCTGGATTATGTTAAAGCAAATTCTAGGCACTATACTATTTCATCTGTCAGTGCTTCAGTATGTTTTTCTAAAGATAGGGCTCCTTTAAAAAAATTACCATAACCACAATACCCTCCATCGTATCTGAATAAATAAATAAATCTTTAATAAAACATTTAGTCAGTGTTCCAATTTTCCCACTTGGCTCCTAAAAATGCTTCTTATAGTTGGTTTGTCTGAATGTATTTGGTTGGCATATCTCTTAGGTGGCTTTATCTTTAAGTGATATGATTTTAACAAATCACGTGTGCCAGAGGGGTGGTGAGCCCATCTGGCCTAACCACACTGCCCAAGTGGGCACGCTCTCTCTTTCACCGGGCTGACCTCCTCTGTACCTGCAATCGAGGCGAGTGAGTGCCACTCACTCACTGCCCCTCTGCACTGCACTTATTCCGGGGCAAATAGGTCCGTATTTCCTCACCCGGTAATTTTCACATACTGGTCCTATCTACTCTCACCACCTGGAGTACCATAAATAAGTCAAATTTGATCTGATGACCTAAAATGAATGTATGTACCAATAAAATTGAGGGTATAATTGTATAACAAATGACCTGTAACTACTAAATTGCATTCTAGAAACAAGCCAAATACATTCCAAGCACTTGCTAATTAAAATAAATATAAAGGAACTAATTTTGAAAAATTCTTAAAGTTTCTGAGTTTTTCAAAGTAATAAGAGAGACAGAGAGATTTCGATTCTCCTCTTTTCCTTGCAAGTACAAAGGAGGAGCCCAATGAAACGCTGTACGGAGAACTGAGTCAAGGAAGTGGTGCTACCCATTGCATTTCCCATTTATTATTCCATTTCAAGCACGCCTTATACTTACTTTCTATCTGCGAATGGAGATCATTGACTATCACTTGTAGCTGCCCAATAGTCATGTCCCTCAGGTCAGCGGGCTTTAAACTCCTTTTCATCAAGCATTCGCTTATATGAGGCATGTGTGGCAGCTGTGAATACAGAGGGGAAGAGATGGAGGTGTGAGCAGAGCAGCAAGTACACTGAACCTAAGACCCAATTTCCCCCTACAAGACTCCCCTCATTCGCCCACTTTCTGGGTTTAAAAGCTTCCCTAGTCTGACTTTCCCACTGCGAGGCCCTACACGCCACACTGTCTAAAACACTATCGGCATCAAAATGCTACACTAGTCAAATCAAAAGCTTTCAGGCTGGTTCTTAGCACAGGCTGTGACAACCATGAGTCAATTATTATATCTGCAAATGAATTACCAGGGAACTCAAATAATATTGAAGCCATGGATGAAATTAACAATATCAGCTATTTATTCATTTATGCCATGCTACAAGCACTGTGCTATGTGCTTCCAGTGCTTTGTTCACGGAATTCTCACAATCATGCTCTGACACAGGTGTTATTGTTTATTCCCATTTTATAGATGAGAAAACTGAGATTTATGCAACTTGTCCAGAAACCCGCAGTAGGTCAGTGGCAGAGCTAGACTTAAACTCCAAAGTGCTAGGCTCTTACCCACTATGCGAGACTGTCTTCGTTGAAAGGTGGGAATGAGAGCTACAGCAGTAGTGAGTTTGCCACAACCAACAGGTTCTTAAACTGAGATTGCTTTAAAGGAATTTAAACACTCCCATGACGGCTAATATTGCCTCTAAGAAACACAGCAGATACGAATCAAGAGCAAAGTTTACTTTTGTGAAATCTGTTGCTTATGTATCTTTCAGTGATACAACAGAAAGGAAAAAGAAACACATATTTCTCAATGACAGTACTTCTTACGAACTGCCTTGGAGAAACCCAAGTTTGCATAACTCTGGTAAAGGACAGGGACAGCGTCAACCATGCGCAGCCACTAGGCACACCGCTTGCATTTCAGCGTTTGCTGCTTACGAGATCAGCGACGGGAGACTTTTTCCTGTTCTGTTTTTCCACTTCTACTTGCATTTTGGCCATGGGTTTGGCCATGGCGAGGGCCATTTTGGCTTCAGCTTGCAATTTCTTTTGCCTCGTGAGGAAATCCATATCATCTAGGGATTCAGACTCCTCTTCAGTAGTGTCTCTATCGGAATAGGAAGAGCTCTGTTTGCTCTGCAAAGACAAAAAGAGTGGCCCTGAGCTTTGTGTGCCCGGTACCATAGGGGAGAGGGGCTAGAACATTCCCCGAGCCCCCCGACACTCCCCTCCACCAACTCAGCTCATCGTCTGATCTGACCTGTACCAGTCTCAGACTGTGATTTTAGCACAAAGAGTAGCAGAAAAAATAAATAATAGGAAGCACAGATTTATGACAAACTTGAGACAGTTCTTTGATTCTTGTTCTCAAAAGACCAGACACAGCAAAATATTTAACCCAGAACTAAGGCAGCGTGCTGCTCTCTGGAGTGGACAGGATCTCAGGGATCCAGTGACCAACAGTTTCCTTGGTAAGAAAACATGATTGGTTGGTGAGAAAAGTGATGCACAGACCTCACCAAGTGGCAAGAACTCCAGCCACAAGCTCCCACAATCAGAAAGCCATCTTTTATAATATGTGCGCAAGGAATGGGCAAGGAACACTGCACACGCTTGATCTTGTTGGTTTGTCTGAGCGACACCTCCACGCGCGAGCTTTCCCCTCGGCCCTGCCCCCATCCTTTTAAAATGTGTCCTGCTGTCTAAACCCAGCGGGGAAGGATTGGTATTTAGTATATTTCCCTTTAAAAATTTTTTTAGAGCACATGTGATTTCTCTTATGGTTTAATATGAAAATAGCTGCTAACTCTAACAGAGCTTAGGTATCCTTGCTGTATCACAGCTTTGATTTTTCAGTCACTGTCAAATTTTAGGAGAATGCCACGTCAAGAAATGCAGAGAGACTTCTCTCTTTAAATCTCTGTAATGTTTGTTCCTGATAACAACAGAAAAGAAGCCAAATGGCCAGGAAAGCACATACACTGAGCTTCAGCGGCAGCTTGTGGACTCACCATGGGCGACAAGGGGGTGTCCAAGCTGGTTTCAGTCTTACTGTCATCTGCATCGCTGTCCTTGTCACTGCCGCTGTCGTTGACAAAGCAGATCTGCAGGTTCATCCCACTCTGCAGGCTGGGCAGAAGCAAAGAGAACACGCGTCCGCTCACTATGTGTGATCTGGCCGCACCCAATAGAACTGTCTGGTTTTGCTAGTGAAAAGCAGTTTTATGTATCTTTCACATGGAGAAGTGAGTGACCAGGATTACTCCTAACTCATCAGTGATAACACACTAGAGGATAACAGTGATCACCTGATAACTTGATAAAGATAAAATCATAATTTTTACTAATATTGCATTAGTTTTTCCCCATACTAATTTCATGTTAAGTGAACAATAATTTAAGGCCATATGTTATAGCACCCAGCACAACACCAAACACATAGTTGATGCCAATAGAAATGTACTGAGCCTGGCCGGGTGTGGCTCAGTGGTTGAGCATCGACTTAGGATCCAGGAGATCGTGGTTCGATTCCTGGTCAGGGCACACACCCGGGCTGTGGGCTCGATCTCCAGTCCGGGGTGTGCAGGAGGCAGCCGATCAATGACTCTCTCGTCATTGATGTTTCTATCTCTCCCTCTCTTCCTCTCCCTTCCTCTCTCTGAAATCAATAAAGATATATTTATTAAAAAAAATGTGTTGAGTCATTGACTGTATATTCCTGTCAATGATGAATGGGGTCCTCAGCAAATGAAGCTGTATTGTGTCATCTGGTGTCCTGTCCCATGGGACAGTCCAGGGACCCCAGACCATGGCTCTCTGAAGACTCCCTTTCCCCCTCAAATAGACAGAATAGGGTCATCTGAAGGAAAATTTTATTTAAAGCAGTTGCCAATAGCCAATCAAGGGAGCTCATTTATATCATTTAAGAAAAAAACACACCATGGGTTCACCCTAGAGAAATGTAAGGTAACCCCAAACCCAGTTAGACAGGGACAACCTGTGGACACAGTGTGGTTCTGCAGGCCACCTTGTGCACTCAGAGCCTCAGGTGGAGCTTTCTTGGGAGCTCATTGTGTTTGTGGCAGATCCTGAAGCTCCAGGAGTGATGCTGCTAGAAATGGGGTCACAAAGGGTCACCCAGTGGTGTATGTGCTGTATACCAGGACAGACAGGGAACCTAGTTCTTTGTTCTGACCTCTCTTGAAGTTAAACACATTTCACTGCTGTTTGGTGATGGAGAGTTTTTAAAGAAGTCTTAGCATCCCTAGTAACCCTGGCCTGTGTGTAATAGTAGAGAAAAAAAAGGTATTAGGGGCTCCTAAGCAGCACGGATCGTGGGCTTATCTAAACCAGGTTTAGGAGAGTAGATACCAATGGCTCAGCATTATTACTTCACAGGGAGAAAGGCAAAGAACAACTCCCCTGACAGCAGACATTTGAATTTTGAGTTTTTAGAAATTCCAATGGATAGGGATGCTTTCTACACAATTACTCAGATGACTCATATAAAGCGCTTCTTCGAAAATTATACAGAACCTAGAAAAAGAAATCTACTGATTTAACACAGGCACCAGCATTGTTACGTGTATCTACTGCCACCTATTGCTCACTTCTGTAATCAGTGAAAATCCAGCTTATTTCCCCAGTAAGAAAACTCTGCCTTTCCCTCAGGAGGCCCAGTTCTGTTCCCTTCCTGCCCTCGAGTGCCCCAAGGACAGCCAGGCCTAGGGCTGGGTGCAGAAGCCAACAGGTGCTGTGTGATGAGCTCAGGGTGCTTGCATGCAGTCGGACTTGGGTTCTGAATCCTCACTTATCCCTAGGCACATTACTCTATGACCCTCAGTTTCCTCATCTGTAAAATGGGGTGAATAAGTCAGTGTTTTGTAGGAAGAATGAAAAGAGCTGAGAGCTGGGCACAAGGCAGGCGCTCTGTGCATGTTAATTACCCTCCTTCCTCTACTTTCTGAAGGCCTAGACAAAGGAACACAGAATTTTAATAGGGATGTGACTTTGCAAAGGGCGCTCTAGAGCGTGGTACAGCAACTCTCTGATGCATGCTCAGCTCTGACAGGGTCTGTGAGCTGTCCTAACTCTGTTAGGCAGCTTCTTCCACTGGAATTTTTTTCCTGGAGACATCTAATATGTTTAAGTTACCCTTAATCCCATATAAATTATTTTAAAACTTATTATCTGTAGTTGGTCAGAAGAACACCCCAGTATCAACCCATGATTAATAATACAACTCAAGGTCAATGGATTGGAAGATAATGGGAAATAAAATTGTAAATTAAAAAGACATATTTTAAAGACATATTTAAAAATAAAAAGACATTTTTAATTAAACCTAATTTAAATTTAAGATTATGTAGCATTTTCTATTTATTGAATAACTAAAGCTTTGAAAAGAAGAGTCTGGCCACTGGGTACACAGATTATAAAAATATAAAATAACCCATGATATGGCTGGAAAATAAGATTTAAAACATCTTAAGATATATATTCTGAAGAAAGTCTGATCATAAATTCTATTGTTCTGCCCCCAAACTGAACTTTGCCATAGGATCAACTCAGACCTAAATCAACCATCCCAAACAATGTTTCTAACTCAGGAAAGGCAAAGGGAAAGAAGGGGGGAGGGTTAGCAATCAGAGTGAAATGAAAAAACACCTCAGGCAGAAATTCAGAAAATCGCCTTAGCACCACATTATCACCGTGGGAAACCAAACCGAGCTTCTTATAGGGTGAGACTTATAATTCCTTATAGCGGTAATCACAAGAATGTTGCTCTCAGGAAAAGGAAATTATATGACATAACAGCTAATAGTTCACAGGGGATTTTTGAAAAGACATCTTAAAACGGACTCAAGTTTCAAAAAGGATTTGTTTGCCTTTAGCCTTTAAGCAGGTTTTAAGATGAAGGTGGCTTTGGGGGAAATCCAATCATAGCTTCCGAGCGGCGGCCTGGCTGTGGGGTGAGCAGGGCCACCCGGTGCTGCTGAAGGCCTGTGTCCAGGGTCAAGTTCGATAACCGCCGTCCTGGCCCCTTCTGGCCCGGGGAGGCATGGCCGAACTGAGGCTCACTCCTGGAACCTGGGGTCCCTGGTCTCTGTCCCTCACACCATGGTGCATCCACCCAGCCTCACTCACAACCAGGCTACACAGCCTTATGGAATCCAAGCTGCTGGGGGTCTAATTTGGATCTCCTAAGCAGCCTGAGGTGAAAACAAAACACAACCCTCATCCTATTAATTAGCCATATAATTTAAGGTACCCAAGTCAAGGTTACATGATGTTTCCAGTGGCATTTGGCAGAGCATTGCCTGCAGAAGGCTGCTGGGCTCCTGCCTCGCCCGTGGACTTTTTGTTTAGAAAGGTCTGAGTCCTGGTTCTCCCAGAAACCTCTTCTTATGCACCACGAGGCAGTGAAAAACCACAGTGTCGACCAGGATTTGTCATGAAGAAAGAATGTGAGAACACGAGCTCTGGACAAGTTCTAGATGTCCCATGTGTGACGGCATCTCTGTGGAATGTGCTGAGGTGGGTTGATAAACTATAAAATACCCTCTCCACCCCCCAAACCTGCATCTTCCTCTTCTTTTCCCTACTGACTGTTCCATATTGACTTTTATCACGAGTTACAGAGATACCAATGACTATTTTTTTAAAAAAAAGGCAAAGATTTTGCTTCCTAATATTTGTTATTGTGAAAATACAGTTATTTCTCACTTTACTTTAGTGGGGTTGTGTTAACTTTCTTTGCTACGGGCTGTGTGATGCATAAGATGATAATCTGACTTTTTAAAAAGGGGTGGCATTCATATAACAGGTGAGACTATTGCTGGTCCAACACATACCATCACACACACACGAAAGACCTGTAATGACTTTTATAGCTATATTAAGAGAGAAAGGGATGTTTAACTGTTCATTCATTCGATGATCAGGCAATAACATCTCTGCAAACGCCATGGCTCCAATAGACTAGTGCAGAGTAGCTACTGTCCCCTTGGCCAGGGCACACTCTTCCTAGCTTGCTACAGTCCCGCTTATGGCCTTTTATCTGGGCTACTCGACTCATTTATGTTTACATCTGGCTCCTGAAGACATTTTATAGCTCACGACCCCTGTACTAAGTGGATGCACAGTAGTAGTGGAACTAAGAGCAACAGAAACTAGGTCTTCTAACAGGTACCAATGCCTGGGTCACTAGATCACAATGTGCAAATAGAAGGGTGGAATATATAGGGCACTGGAAGACAACTGAAAAACCCCCCAGCGCTTAGTAGACACTCCCCCTTACATATGAGAAAAGACATACTTTAGTAACCTGGGCATGAATGATAAGGCGTTAGCCAGAAGAGTGCGTGAGCAGGGCGGTGCAGGAAAGGAGGGCCTGGTGAAGTGGGGGTGGGGGGGTAAATGCAGGGGAGGGGCGGAAAGCCAAGCCCCGAGCAGTCATGTGCCCAGAGACGTTAAGGGTAGTTTCAAACTATGTGCTAAAGAGAGGAGCAGGGGAAAGGGGAACGGCATGTCTCTTTGTGGCCCGTCCTGACCCCACATCTTACGGGGCTCAGGCTTCCTCTGCAGAAGCTGAGAGGCGGCTGCAGTGGTGCTGACCCGTGGATGGCCCTCTCCGGTGTTCTCCTCCTGGTCCCGCACATACTCGCTTTTTCTGCTCCGTTTCTGAAGGTTAGCTCTGGATCCTTCCATCTGCACATGTTCACATGGTGGCGGGTAGGCATCCAACACCACATGCCACAGAACCTCTCCTTAAGAGACTACAGGGACAGGGGAACTAGCAGTCACCAGCTTCTCTCCAGTGAAGCACCAGCCCGTCTCCTAACCCGCTTCTCCAGAGAACTATAAATATCGCATTCCTCAGACAGCTGCTGGGTCTAATTCCACATCAGTGTCCGGTTCCTTCACGAATCGCTACTTGCACGTAATTGAATTTGGAATGATAGGATCTTAATGTTGGAAAAATGCATTTTCACCAGAACTGGTTTTTTTCGCATTAACTGAAAACCAGAATGCATGAGGCTTCTTCTTCTAGGCACCAAACGTGGCCTACTCTCATCCCGATGGAAGCCTACCAATTCCTAAGCAACCTACATTCTGAAATAAAGAAC